TGCTGTTTCTCTTTACTAGAAGACAGAATAAGCAAATGATGTATGCTGTGAAGGACTAGGCGTATCACCAATCTGATCTGTCTAATTTTCAAAAGAAGTTAATAGACAAAATGGGCAAGATTTGTTGTGCTGAGATGATGAAGACTTTCAAAGCAGTTCAAATATGTATGTGTATTCCAAGATCCATGCTTATAATTGATTAAATGTGATTTTTCTTTCTTTAAGCAAATTGGTTTCATTTATTATTTCCATATTGAATGGTTTCATTTATTATTTCCATATTGAATGGCTACTAGAGAAAAAAAGTTGTAACCTTTTACTAAATTCTGTGTCACTAATGTAAAAATACAGATATCCATCTTTTCATCATTTATTCTTTCTTCAGATTCTTCTAAGCCCAGTCTTTAGTTACATAGCAATCCTATAGAAAGCAGTTGTAACTGTTACGTTATCTCTTATGTCTTATGTATCAAACTCAAACTCACTCCCATTGAGTTGATTCCCTCATAACTACCCTTTGTCCAGTTTCAAAGGCTGTAATTTCTACAGGAACAACTGGCCATCTTTCTCCTGTCGAACTACTGATCAGTGTGAACCATTGATATATTCTAACTGCAGAGACACACAGCCTTTGGTTTTACAGCACGGCTTGCAGTGTTCAATGCTGCTGAAACTCCCTTCTCTTAAAATAGAGTAAACTCAAAATATTGACCATTTTAATCCTTAAATTAGATACTCTATATATCTTAGCATTGTAAAAATACTGACCATTAGTTGTTTATCTAGCTCTTTCAGTATGTGTGAGGTGTGTGGATCTTGCTTCAGTTTTTTGTAGATGGTTTTCCAATTTTTGAGCATCATTTGTTAAAGAGGCTGATATTTCATCTCCTTGTCAAAAATGAGTTGACCGTAGGTAGATGAGTTGATTTCTGGGTTCTCATTTCTGTTCCATGGATCTGTGCGCCTGTGTCTTTACCAATACCACGCTGCCTTGACCACCATGGTTGTATAGTAGGATTTGAGATCAAGGAGTGAGATGCTCCTGTGTTGGTTTTCTTTTCAGCAGTGCTTTCCTCATTTAGGGACTCTTCCCATTGCAAACAAATGTAGATTTTTCCTTTTGCATTTGGTTGAAGAATGGAATTGGTATTTGTATTGGGATTGCATGGAATTTATAGATTGTTTTCAACCAGGAGAAAATAGATGAATGGGACCTTCTAAATATAAATCTCTGTATATATCAAAAAATAACTCAAACAGGGTAAAAGGGGAACCCACAGACTTTGAAAAAATATTTGACAATGACATATCTGATAAGGGACTCATCTACAATTTATAGAATACTTCAGCACCTCAACCAGAAAAAGGCAAACCATGCAGTCACAGAATGGGCGGAAGAAAGGAATAGAAGCATCACCAAATAAGCAATTTAGATTGCCAACAAATGAACCAGTATCAGAACCTAATTATCAGAGAGATGCAAATCAAAATAACTCTCTGAGTTATCATCTCATCCCAGCTACAAAGTTGAACAGGGCAGCAAATAGCAAATGCCGGTGTTGTTATGGAGAGATTGAAACTTATTCGCTGCTGGTGGGCATAGAAAATGGTACAACCATTATGGAAGGCGGTCTGGCGCTTTCTCTAAAAGTTGGAAATTGAAATACCGTTAACTGTGGTATGTTCACACAATGGAATATTTTGCAGCATTGAAAAACAGTGGCCCTATACACAACATGGTTGAGCCTGAAAGATATTATACTAATAGAAATATCTCAGTCACAAAAGAACAAATAGTGCATAATTCTGCTATTATAAGATAGGATAGGTGGGGCAAAGGAGTGGATAATAACACTGCACTGGAACAGAGGGGAGGAAGGACTGTCTTCTGAAGGGAATGTCTGATTGGGCATTACATTGTATATATCACAACAATCTGGAACAGAAGTGCATTACAGAGTAGAATGGAAGGAGGAAAATGCAACAATGAATCAACAAATGAAAACCTCACCTTACTATAAACTTTCATTAAAATCACAATTGTTGTTGTTGTTAGGTGCTGTCAAGTCATAGACAACTCATAGCGACCCTGTGAACGAAAGGCCTGAGCACTGTTCGTACATAGAGTTTCCGGAGGCAAGCCATTTCGGAAGTGGATGCTGCTCCTGCTTCTAGGCTTATTTTAGCCGAGAAACTCCAACAAACACTGTCTACCATGGGTGACTTGGCACATCAGTGTCCCAGTGTTCAGCATCACAGTAACCACGAGTTACCTCAATACAGCAATGCACCGGCCAGTGCTATAACACCTAGAAGAATGTTTGACAGGAAAGAAGAAAATTTAGATTGTACAGAAAACTTAAAAAAATCAGACTACTTTCATTTCTTGCTTAAAATTATTTCCAAATAGAAACATTATGTGAAAAGAAATATACTACGTACAAATGCTAGAGGTATAAAGGAGCATTCCTTTTTTTTTTTTTGGCTGGTGGCCTGCTGGGTAAGGAGTTGGACTGCCAGGCCAAAGGCACACATTTTAAATCCACCAGTTTCTCTGAAATCCTGCTGGCAGCTCAGATCTGAGGCTGTTTGAACTTGAAAGTACCTAACAACCAGGCAAACAAGAATAAGGGAGATGTAAGTAAGGCATAAAGGGAGCTCTGGTGACCTAGTGGCGGGAACTGGTACTGCCAACCCAGAGGCAAGCAGGAGACAGCCTGCCTTTCTCCCATGGAGCAGCTGGTGGATTCAAAGACAGGCTGTCTCCTCCTCTGTTATTTACTGTCTGAGAAAACCCTCTGGAGGGTCAGCTATAAGTCGGTTCCAACTTGACAGCAATGAACAACAAAGGAATAAAAGAGGCACAGATGGAAGACCACTTCTTATTACTGTTATAAAAGCCTATGACTAAGGAAATTATACTTACTAATATCTAAATGGAAGCTTTTTTCTAAATCTTGTACCATGGATTTATACACACGCGCATTGTGTTTGTATTAATGTCTTTTCACAAATGACGGTCTGTTCGTTATCTCTTCATTGTGTTTATTCATGCAGCATTATTGACAGAAGTTGAGACAACATTGAGTTTTGAAATTTCATGCAAATATTCTGCATGATTTATTAGAGCTCTCTTTTGGCATCATCCGTAGGGAGCTGTGCTGATAACTCAAAGGTTACAACATTTGGTAACTCAAATCCTCTCACGGCTCCTCTCATGCATTTTAAGGCCTTGGGAACCCAGTGGTTGGTCAGTGATAAGTCAGTTCCTACTTGTCAACAGTCAGTTGAGTTGAGTTGACCCAATTTAACAGTGTTTCTCTGGTCCATGAAGTGATGCAATCTATTATATTCATCAGGTACTACTCATGGGAAATAACTGAAAATCTAAATCTTTAGAAAACATTTAAGGAGTTGCAGGCCAACCAATTTTCCATTTGACAGAAGAGACTCATGTTTTTCAACAATACTAAAAATAAGGATTTACATGACTTATTCTGAATTACCGATATTTATGTTTGATTAAAAGCATTTTGTGCCCGTGCAGGATGTCATTGCTGTGGCGAGATTTATTGTTCTGTCAGCATCTTCATCTACAAGTAGAAATGATAAGAATTGTATAGTTTTGAAAGCATTTGAAGGCTTCAAATCAACTGTTTATGTAAGTGTACGGAATTTGGTCTCAAAACAATTGTGTCTTCATGAGCTAAAATGATGGAATAGAACTAGCACATTTAAAAATCTGCATAAATATTCCACTGGGACCCAGACACAGGGAACCCAAGCCCAGGGTCGCACAACTCCCTGAGGCATTTATCTGAGCCACTTTCTGACAAAAAAAAATCTTCAGATAAACTATCTGTTGTTATTTCAGGTGCCATTGAGTCAAGTAGAACTCATAGCAACCTGTGAACAACTGATCTGAACCTTTTCCCATCCAGGACCATCCTCACAATCTCTGACACACTCAAGCCCATTGCTGCCATCACCATGTCAACCTGCCTAATCAAGGGTCATCTTCTTGAAAGCCATCCCTCCACCTTCCCAAGCATGATGTCCCTCCAAGGAATAACCTGTCCTAGCAACGTGACCAAAGTATAATTTGTAGACAACCTATTTAGGTTGGCTGAATGATTTAACAGAATGATTCCTGATAGTAAAGAAAAATCTCTTAAATATACTGGTTAATACCATTAGTGATGTCCCCTTTTTAAGTAAAAGTTATTTTTTTTTCTTATTTTGTTCTTTGTAGAGATGACTATCCCCTTCTCACCACTCCTGTTAGCATCCCCTCCTATTATAATATGCATTTGAAAACTACCTATTTAGTCAAAGCTATTGGGCAGAGTTGGACCAAATATTTATCTACAAGCCAACAGTTTCTACTTGTTTTCCCCCCCTCATATGCACTATATTTGATGGTAAAATTAATGAATTAAACGTAAGATTTTGTTACAATGACCACTACGTTTCTTTTTCTTTCTGAAAAGAATCCAGGATTCTCTTTAAGTTTCTTGTCGTTTGTTTGGGTTTTTGTTGTTTTTTTAATTTTAATTGACTTTGGTGTCACCTAAGATTATGGCACGTTCTTCCTGGGTGTTTCGTCATAGTTAAGAATTTCACTTAATATTGCCCCCTCTACAAGAAAAAAAATTCAAATACCGGCTCTGATTCTGTACTTCCTTATGTGTTATTCCTGAGAATACAATGTAAATATTCGTCAAATATAACCTCTAAGAATACAACATTTGCTTAAAGGACATTTTTATTTGCCTTATAAGCTCTTTTGTTTTTCTACAGTTTAGAAAACTTTGTTTATGTGACAATTTGTAAGACATAACCTTGAGCTGTTTTAGTGAATTTGAGTATTGTACAGATAAGTGACTTGTTATTACAACTCAACACTTGTAATCACATCAAAGATTGTATAAAATTAAGCTCTCACTTTTTTTTCTCCTCAGGTTTATGTTAAGTCTGTGAGAGATTTTTGTGCAGAAACAATGTCTTTGGTAAGTTAATAATTAATTTTAACACTTAAAAACACTATAGAGACATACAAACCCCCACACTTATATGTACATACGCTGTTTACTTTTTAATCTGATTGAAACAGTATCAGTAAAATGGCAAATGTAATCTCTGGGTTTTTGCTATAGAACACTATTACAAGTAGTTAATGTCTGATTATTCTCTTGTCTGGAGTATCTGTTGATCCTTACAATAAATTACATACAAAAGAAAAGAAACATTTTTTTTAAAGTTTTCTTTTAAGCTACAATCAAATTCTGTTTCTTTTATTCATCAGCTTGAAATATTTGATACGGCTGTGAACCTGTTAATAAGCCACCAAAAGCGACCTCATTGCCCTCAAGTCATTACTGAGTGGTGATTCCCCGTTGAAGGGTTTAGAGCTGGAAATCTTAAGGCCTCAGACTGCCTCGTCATTCTTTTGTGGGAGGGCTTGGAGACTTGAACCGTTAGCTTTCTGATTAGCAGCCCAGAATGTATCTCACTATGTCACCAGAGTGAACCACAAGGCCCTTAAACTTGGCACATGTCTTTTCACAAAGGCCAGGGATTCAAAACAATTAGACTCTCAGGCACCAATTTATTTGATTTTATTTTCTTAATCTTCAGTTGTACTTTTTTGCATACTCTCACATTTTTCATCTGTTACAGATTTTAAAGTATGTATCAGGAGAACTTGGTTTTGTTCTTGACTTTCTTATATTTTCTTAAAACAGTGACAGGAAAAAGTGTTGCAAAGTTGAGGTTGAATTTTCCCTAAAGATTATGATTATCATTAGATTCTGAATTTAAGATATACACTCTTCTTCAGTAATTGCCCTTGGAAAGTTATTTGAGGTAATCAGTTGACCTTATATGTCGCAGATTTAGAATCATTAGACTAGTCCAGTTATGTGATCTGAAGGCCCATTATATGTTAGCTTGTCTTTCCTGGTTTAAAATCGGAAAATGGTATGCCAGACTTGTACTCTGTGACTATACTAAGTCTGTCTGTGCTGAAAAACTAGGCTGTATGGAGAGGTACGTAACACCAACCCTGGAGGATGATTCATTAACCACCTTTGAAAATTGCTGACATTTTGATAGTCTAGTTTTCTAATTTTTTATTAAAGAAGTTTGATGTTTTAATATCATCTAGAGAGATTAATAATATAGATTAATAATGCTATGTTTTCAACTGATGTGAAAATTATACCATTTATAAACAGAATTATTTCCAAGAGAAACTATAACCAAAGCCCTATTCCTTCAAGGCAGTTGCAGTCACAGGGCCTTCCGTCAGGTTTCCAAGGCTGTGAATGTTTAAGGAATGATGCTGCCATCTTTCTCCTGAGAAGTGTAAGGTGGATTTGAATTGTTGGCCTTTCCGTTAGCAGCCCAGCATGTAGTACAGTACATCACTCCCTTTACGAGAAACCTCACATGTGAAATAATTGGTTTCTAGAATAAACCTTGTGAGTTGTATTACTTTTTTCTTCCCCAAACTGTGGCCTTTGTTTTACATGTAAAAGAATAATATGAACAAGAGCCAGTAGATATTGAAGGAAGATGTTCAAGCTGTACTGAAGGCATTAGCAATAAATAAAGCGCCAGGAGTCAGTGGGATACCCAATTGGCATGTTTCAAATAATAGATGCAACCCAAGACATGCTCACTAATTTCTGCCAGGAATTTTGGAGGAAACCTGGCTAGCTGACTGGAAGAGATCCGCATTTGTTCCCATTCCCAAAAAGGTGATCCAACAGAATGTGGAAATTCTTGGACATCATTAATATCACATACAAACAAAACATTGCTGAAGATCATCCAAAAATAGATTGAGTAGTACATCCCAGAGACTTGCCAGCTGTTCAAGCTGGTTTAGAGGAAGTGATACCACCAGGGATATTATTACTGATGTCAGATGGATCCTGGCTGAAAGCAGAGAGTACTAGAAAAGTGTCTATTTGTTTTTTATTGACTTTGCAAAGACAATAGACTATGTGGATCATAATAGACAATGACTAATATTGAGAAGAATAAAGATCCCAGAACATTGAATTATGCTCATGTTAAACCCACAGCTAGATAAAGAAATTGTTTGAAAAGAACAAGGGAACACTGAGTGGTTAGGAAAGGTGTGTGTCAGGGTTGTATCTTTTCTCTATACTTACTCATACTATGCTGAACAAATAAAAAAATCTGAACTCTATGAAGAACAGTGTGGCATCTGGTTTCGAGGAAGATACAGCAGTGATATCCATGTGATAACAACCTTGCTTGCTTGAAAGTGAGGAGGACTTAAAACACTTACTGCAGAAGACAAAGACTATAGCTTTCAATATGGATAGCACCTCAACCTCAAGGCAAACATTTTCAGTACTGTATTGATAGAGTAGCAGCAGCAGGATAGTTGGAGAAAAGAATGAAATTGTAAACAGTTTCATCTTACTTGGAACCACCGTGAACACCCTTACCAAGAGTTAAGAGATCAGGAGACCTACTACATTGGGAAAGTCTACAGTCACGGACCTCTCCAAATTACTGAGGAGCAGTGCTGTCAATTTGAAGAGTAAGGCTGTGGTTTTTTTCAATAATTTGCTCTGCATCTGAGAACTAGAGAGTACGTAAATGTGACAGAAGAATTAATGACTTTGAGCTGAGGTGTTGGAGAAGAGCACTGAATATCCCATGAACCGCCAAAGGAAAAGTCAGATATGTCTTGGCTTAGAGAAAGTTCAGCCAGAATGCTCCTCGGAGGCAAAGATGATAAAAGTTCATCTCACATACTTTGGGCATGTTTCTGAGAGAAACTATTCCTTGGAGAGAGGCATCATGCTTGGAAATGTAGAGGATCAGCTAACGAGAAGGCTGTCAGCCAGAGAGATTGGCCAGTGACTGCAGCAGTGGGCGCGGGTGTCAGGGCTGATGAGGATGGCCAGGACAGGACAGAGTTCTTACCTTTTGTTCATAGGGTCAGTATGAGTCAGACTTGACAGCACCTAACAACAAAATGACTTATAGATTTGATTAAAACATGATTCTACAGTTCAGCTATTTAGTGTTTACATAGTCATTACCTTCTTCTTTAGATCCCAGGATCAAATTATGCATATACACCCCTGAATCAGCTGAAGGATGGTACAGTTGTCAATGTTTACGGTGTTGTCAAGTTTTTCAAGCCCCCATACCTAAGCAAAGGAACTGGTAGGTATTGACAGTTAAAATTGGTGGAATATTTATGGACTGTTGATTATTTTATTTGATTTCTATTTAACAAACAGCATTGCTTCATTATCATTGGCAATTTTTTATTTATATAATAAGTAAGATCTTTAGGTTCTCACATCTGTTTATTACTCTCACATCTAGGCCTTTGCCTCAATTATGTATATATTTTAATACTTTTAAAAGTACATTAAAAAATATACCCATTAGTATAATCATGTGTACTTTTTAGAAGATAAGTATGTGAACAGTGCATCAAAGAAATATAAATTGAAATGTGCTGAGTTAAACTTAATGGATAAGCTCTCACTAAATTGGGTAAGTTTTTTCAATTGTATTTCATCCAATTTAACATGCCATCCATTATAAAGTGATGACTTTTTTTTATCATTAACAAGAGAAAACTACTGCTATTGAAATTTGTTTCATTGTCAGTCGTAAAATGTAGCATATTTCAGAAATGTAAAGAATGAATCAATGAATATTGTTGATGACATGCTGTATTTATCTGCTGCGTGCATGGAGCTATGGTTCATGAAGGAAACACAGAGATGTTAAGGAGTTCGTATTAAAAAGCATCTTGTTTATAAAGATACATATATGCCTAAAGAAAGAAACCTTTATTTGTAAATATGCAGACCTATTTGGAAAGGTTGCTTTTTAGTAGATAGAGAAAATGAATATTTTCATGTGGACAGAGTATTTGATTCTAATAAAGACTTTGTATGACTATGGCAATGGGAAGATTTAAATTTGGAGACCAAAACCTTGAAATAGGTGAAAACTGGGTGCAGCAGCTTGTTACATAGAAAAGACTAATTATTTCTGTTTTGCTGAATTGAAGGGAAACAATATTGAAACAGACTTTTAATGACAAAATGTATCATTTTCAAAAGTACCATAAAGATAATGTTGATCAAAGCATAGCTGTATTAAAACCTGTGGTACTCAGTATTAATTTTAAGGTATTCTTAAAGTACACAATCTTATTTTCTTCTGGTGACAATGTTAAATCATACATAACAAAACTAAAGCTGTGAGAAAGTACAGTATTTCTCGTATGTAAAGTACACTATTTTTTGTATCTACGCATGTATCTTACTTCTGTCAGATATATTTGGTTGGATTCAGTCCCTTAATAGGAAATTCATGCCTAGAATCAGCCATCTGTTATTAGAGGATAACATATTTCTGCCTCCTGAGATACGAAATTAAAATGAACATCATCACTTCTATCAAAAATATTTATTACAACCCTAAAATATATCTTAAGACATAGCAAGATGTCTTTACCACAGCAAGCCATCAGGTTTTAACACTATCCGTCTTGCAGCTTTCGTTACTCTTAGATCAGATCTGCTGCTGTTGCTGGAACTCATCCTTCAGCAGGAGTAAACACTGCGGTCCGTAGCACTGCTTATTGTGTTCAGGAAAGGATTACCTTCATTAGTGTTGGTGGAGAGTTTTACCAGAATAGATGGGCACGAACAGTCCGCAGCATGCCTTGTTTTACAGAAGCCTGTATTTTACAAGTGCAGAACTACAACCCAAATAGTGGCTGCGTGTATTTAATTGGTTATGTGGAGGGAAATTAATTGTATGCAGCTCTGATCGGTCAAGTAGACGGAAAAGATTATTCTGTTACATATCAATAGTTAGAACGTCTCTTTAAGTTTTATTTTACCCCATGTATAGTTTTATGCCATTTCACTTCCTTATCCCTAGAGAAGATTGATCCTGAAGACTTGCCTCTCTTTCTAAGTAACAGTGATTGAATATGACCTACAGCACGCTGCTATTTTATATCTAATAGCAATTGCTTTATTTCCCAAATTACATTCTCTCTTATGGGTAATTGTGGCTTTCACTCTTAGAAATTTGCCAGTTCTCTTGTTACAGGACATTTGATGCTTTAAAAGGGAACTCTGTTGGTGTAGTCCACAGGGAGTTGTCCTGCTGACCAAAAGGGGCACGTCTTAGGCAGAGCAAATCTACCTTCCGCTTTGAGGGATAATGATGAGCGGTGATTGATTATTGCACCTCAAGAACCAGCGCACAAAGGGTCAGCTTTGAGTGGTATTAACACACCAACAATGAGTTGACTTTGAATTTATGCTATAAATCCTATTTCCTCAGTTGTGATAAGACTGATTTTAAAACTGAGAAAGAAATTACTCAGAATTCTGGAGATAACATATTTAAAAGATTATTATATGTTCAAAATTAGTAATGACTTCTTTCACGAAGGAAATTCTTTGCCACCTCAGTACTTTTGAGATTTTATAAAAGGGATTTTTGTTTTAAAGCTTTACATTCACTACTGGTTTCAAAAGCACACTAACTGAATTAGATACTTTGTTTTCTGCTTTCTGTTCACATCATTGATAATACAGTTTTTAGTTAACACATGTAAAAAAGTTTAATTTTACGTATGTCTTAGATACTAAGAAACCTTTTTTCATTTGAGTTGCATTTACTCAGTGTTCTCATTGTCATTTCTTGCTGAATAGTGCAAAGTGTACAGCAGGTGAAATAGTGCTGCTTTGTCAGTGTAGACTAATTGTACTAACGTAGTATGGTAATAGGGCCACACAGACTCTGTTAATAGTCTATGTTTTGTACCTAACTCAGTCACATTCATAAACCTCTACATTTACAGAGAGTAAAGCGAATCTTCTTTGTGCTGAATCTCCTGATATTATCATCCAGAGGAAGGGAGTAGAGAAATTATTCACATCTTCATAGTTTACAGCTACCTTCTCTTTTTAATTCTTTCCCTAACCTTTGAGGCTGTCTTTTTACCCTCACAACTCTCAGGAGTTCTTTGCTGTTTGCTGTGACATACCACATGTGGCTCTCTACCTTCTGGTTGTTGTTATGTGCCGTCAAGTCGTTTCCGACTCATAGCGACCCTATGCACAACAGCCCTAAACCCTGCTCTATCCTGCGCCAACCGCACCGCCTCTGACACACCCATCCCGATTACCCCAGTCACCGAATCAATCCATCTCATAGAGGGTCTTCCCCTCCTGCGCTGTCCCTCCACCCTCCCAAGCATGATGTCCTTCTCCAAGGACCCGTCTGGCAACATGTCCAAAGTATGTCAGACAAAGCCCCAGAATCCTTGCCTCCAGGGAGTAGCTTGGTTTTATCCTCTCCAAGATGAATCTGTTTCTTTTCCTGGCAGTCCATGGTGCATTCAATACCCTTCTCCAGCACCACAGCTCAAAAGCATCCACTCTCCTTCTGTCCTCGCTAGTCATTGTCCAACTTTCTGATGCATAGCAAGCGATTGCAAATACCATGGCCTGTATCAGGCACACCTTAGTCTCCAGAGAGACACTGTTGCTCCTGAGTACCTTAGAGAGGTCCCTAACAGCAGACTTTCCCATCGTGATACGCTTTTTGATTTCCTGACTGCATAGGAATATTCTTTGATTCCATAAGAATTTTCAAGTTTCCTATTTCAAAAATTACTTACCACTGCAAGGGAAAGCGCATACAAAATACAAGATAGAAGAAAGAAGAATATTCCAAATATATTAGTAGCTTTTAAACTTTTGAGAATCACTGAGGGGGGGGAAATCCCAAAGTAAAAAAATAAGTAAGAAAAAGTATTTTTTTTTCTTAAAGATATGGAAAGCAAGGTTCCTCCTGAAAATGTGTTTGAAATAATTGAGATGAAGCTCCACCAGCCTCACCCCTAAAGAGCATCTGGTTGCACTTCCTTCAAAACAGATTTATTGATTCTTCGGTCCATGGTCTATTCAGTACTCTTCACCAGAACCACAATTAAAGGCATCAGTTTTCTGTCATTTTTAGTCATTGTCTGACCTTAAGTTGCATGGGAAGCAATTGAAACATGTCTTCTAATTTCTTGACTGCTGACGCCATAGATGAACTGCTGATATGAGTACAACATGTCTTTTGATTTCTTGACTGCTGATAACATCGATGTCACTTGTGGATCCAAGTGAAATGAAATCATTGACAACTTCAATATTTTCTCCATTTATCATGAAATTGTTTCTTGGCCTGCTGGTGAGAATTTTTGTTTCTCTTGATGTTGAAATGTAGTCCATATTTACGGCTGTAGTCTTTGACTTCATGCAACAAGTGCTGTAATTCTTTTTCTAGAAGCAGGGTTTGGTCATCTGCATAACATAGGTTGTTGATAAGTCTTCCTTCAATCCTGATGCTGTGCTCTTCTTCATATCATCTACTTTCTTAAATGATTTGCTCAGCACCGTGACTGAAAAAGGTATGGAGAAAGGATTCAACCCAACTTCACCTTTTCTGATTTTAATCCATGTGGCTATTCAGACAATTGCTTCTTGCCATGAATGAAATACAGAAGATAATTTTCTCTTTTGACAAGGATGTAAACAAAATATACTTCACAAAAGTATCTTGGTTTCTTATTAATAATCTTCTGAAAAAAATACAGAATAAAATGTATGCATCAATGAAATGCTCACAGACTCTTCTTCTCCAGTAGCTTTTGGAACCAAAAAGTTTTCAGTGTGAAAATCTGGTGACTATTGTTGCTGTTCCCAAAGTCTGGAATATTGACTTAGTCTTTCTCATCTGTCAGAATCCTATTTATCTTTAAAAGTTCCTCTAAATGCTGCTGCTTCTGGATGCCTTTCATCTGTTGATAGTACTCTCTCCACGTTCACTCCTAAAGCTTGTTATATACTGTGATTGTACTTTATTCCAGCTACTTGACATTTTTTAGCCTTGTTCTGGAGAGGGTGAAAGCATGCTGCTCTTTGGAGGCAAGGATTCTGAAGCTTCATCTGACATACTTTGGGCTTGTTGCAAGGAGGGATCATTCTTTGGAGAGGGACATCATGCTTGGGAGAGTGGAGGGACAGCGCAGGAGAGGAAGATCCTCAATGAGATGGATCAATTCAATGATTGGAGTAATGGGAGTAGGTGTGTCAGAGACAGTGAGGTTGGCACAGCATAGAGCAGAG